ATATCGGCCTACTGCACAACAACTTTTGCTTTCAATTTAGCCTTCTGAATGAAAACAATATGAAGATGGTTAATGGCAGACAGAGTGCTTTCCTATTTTCGTTTTCAGTGAACAATCTCAAATTGTACACAACACATAAAGGAATGGGAGATTGGTTATGCCTTACTACAATGCTGAGCATCAAAACAAACCCAAACTTAAATTATGGTTTACCCCTGCAAGTCATTTAGCTCTCAGAGGTTTATGATGTAAGCAGTGGAGTCATTCTGGTCCTCGTAGCCGTTTTCAGTTTATTCAGCATTTTCTAAATGTCCTTGCCAGAATTTTTAATTCACCTCCAATACTAATTGGAATTTAAAATCCAATTCAAAGCTTTAAAAATTATGGGTACTTGTCTATCAAATGGTCTGAAAAAAGTTTTCAGCTTTTTTCCCCATAGTAGCCAGCTAGTTTTCTTTTCTTGCCTGAAATGGAATGCTTACTCTGGTTGTTGCTATAGGCAGCACAACCAGTTTGATTGCTAACATTTATTAAAGAAGGCATTAAATAATATAACAAATATACAGAATTTCATTGGAAAGATAAAAGTCCATAATGAAATAATGCAGTGATGTAACTAATAGAAATAAGGGTATAGGGTTTGCAGATGTTACTTTTGTACTTGTGATTAGATTTTTACAGTTATATCTAATTAACTTGCCTTGGCTTGCCATGTAACTCAAATTACGTCATCTTGTTAAAGCAATGGCTTCATTTCATAAATGTATGCAGCAGTCATCATGGCCACCCTATGATCTCTATCAAGGAACATCCACTATCCTCCATGTCTCTGGCAACAGTATCAATCATATATTCAACTATGAGTACTGACCCGTAATAGGATGCCAGTTTAGAAAGTTCTAAAAATATGGCAGAGAAAAGAGGTCCAAGACCTTCATTGCTAATAACTGATCCACATGTGGCTTCCCCTTACGTTTGCAACGAACAAGCATCCACTTAGAAGAAGTGGAAAATATAGGATTGATTTACTTAAAGCAAACAGACTGTGCACTTTGAAAGTGCAGTTGCACTCATTTTCCCCGAAGCATAATGAATTTGGTGACGCTCTGCTGATTTCCATTACTCAATCATGACCAAGTAAAATGTTTTTTTTTTTTATTTTCCTAGCACCTGATTGGGTATAATTTACAAAGTGAAACTTCACCACATTCACTAAGCTCTGGGTAAAATGAGAGCAACTGCACTTTCAAAGTGCACAGTATTTCAGATTACTTTAGTAAATCAATCTCATATAGTCTCACATGGACCACGCTAGTCTGTATATGTAGATTTATCACTTTTATTGGCTGCAACAGAATATGGGTACTCATTATTATTATTATACAGTATTTATAAAGCGCCAACAGTTCACTCAGCGCTGTACATTACAAAGGGGGACAGAACATGCGACAGTACAGTAACAATACAATGCGATACACGAGGGGTTCGAGTGCCCTGCTCTTTCGAGCTTACAATCTAGGAGGGGAGGGGATAGTGGTACAGGAGGATATAGCTGTGGGGGATGGAGTGGTAGGAAGAGTGGAGGAGGTTGGCAAATTAGCAGGGGTTGGGGTAGGCTTCCCTGAAGAGATGGGTTTTCAGGGTACTCCTAAAGGAGAGGAGAGTAGGTGATAATCTGATGGGTTGGGGCAGGGAGTTCCAGAGGATGGGTGACACCCTGGAGAAGTCCTGGAGGCAGGCATGGGAGGAGGAGACCAGGGAACTAGAGAGAAGGAGGTCTTGTGAGGAGCGGAGTGTGCGTGCTGGGTGGTACTTGGATATTAGGTCAGTGATGTAGTTCGGGGCAGTATGGTGGACAGCTTTGTACGTCAGTGTTAGGATCTAGAATTTGATCCGTTGCGCAATCAAAAGCCAGTGGAGGGATTGGCTGAGGGGGGGGGGGTGGCGGAGACGGAGCAGTTGGTAAGGTGAATGAGTCTGGCTGCCGTATTCAGGATCCACTGAAGTGGGGATAGCCTATGGCGAGGCAGGCCAGTGAGGAGGGAGTTGCAGTAATCGAGTCGTGATATGATGAGGGAGTAGATGAGCTGTTTAGTGGTTTCTGGGGTTAGGAACGTGCGGATTTTGGCGATGTTGCGGAGGTGGAAACTGCATGAGTTTGTTAATGATTGGACTTGGGGCTGGAAGGATCGGTTGGAGTCCAGAATGACACCAAGTACTCTGGCCTGCGGGGCGGGCCTAATAGTGGCATTGTTGGACGTGATGGAGAAGTCAATGGGGGGTGGTGTGCGGGCTGGGGGGAAGACTAGGAGCTCGGTTTTGGAGAGGTTCAGTTTAAGGAAGTGGAGCGACATCTAGTCTGATATGTCGTTCAATAGGTTTGTGATTCGGGGCGGAGACCGAGGGGGTGAGGCGAGGGGTTGAGAGATAGATTTGTGTGTTGTCAGCATAGAGGTGATAGTTGAAGCTGTGAGAGTGTATGAGTTGGCCAAGGGAGGAGGTGTAGATGGAGAAGAGAAGGGGCCAAGGACGGAGCCTTGAGGGACCCCAACAGAGAGGGGGAGTGAGGGGGAGGTGGTAGCATTATAGGTAACGCTGAAAGAGCGTTTGATAGGTAGGATGAGAGCCAGGAGAGAGCTCATCTAATAAAGTCCTGTACAATGTGCTCATGAGTTCACCTACAGGCCTGGTCTTTCCTTGCATAAGTAGCTATATGCTGTAACTCATAGCTGATACCAATTAGGCATCTACATGATTAATGAATGTCAAAATAGAGCTCTAACAGACATTTGTAATGATTTGCCATTGTCCACAGACTGTTTGGGTGACACGTGGAGTTCCATGAATTTATGACACTGGGACACTTAACACTGTCTCTGCAGCAGCTGTGCTAAGCTTCACCAAATGAAGTAAAGTGCTGACAAGTCCCACAGCACAGGAGGAAATTGCACACTGGAAATTGGCAGCACTAGTCTTCATATGCACGTCAGGAAGCAACAGGGAAATGTAGCCCTTCTTCGATCTTCATATCCATCCAGTCACAATCTGTACAAGATAGATCAGAGATCACTGACAAAATCAACAGAATTACTGCATAATGGCCAGGGACATTTCCAGTAAAAAGAAATTCAAATTCATTCTTAAAAAGTGTATGTTCAGCAACACACTCAGCATACATAGATAAAAACAAACCCTCCCTGCCTGGTGGAATGGGCCCAGATCCTAACAACATAATGACCAAGGAAACTTAGGTAGCATGAACCACAGCAAATATTGATAGGCTTTTTATTTATCTTATCCTGTTGGAAAGTCCACAGAATCTCAGATACCTGTAATGCTGACCCAACAATAACGAAGCCGAGCATCCCAGCCACTTGTGATAGGGTCCTTCTTACCCAATTTCCTACACCTTAAGGGTAGCACAGAAGATATCTCCCCTATACCTAGAATGCTCTTTTTTGCGAAATAAAAGCTCCTGTGATCTAGGATTGAGCTGAACGCAAGCAACGCTTTTCCCCGAGAGGTCCTGGCATTCTTTATGACCTTCCTACTAAAAATATAAATACTCTATATTGTAATGAGCATAGACTCCTAACCGCCTCTGCTGACATAGATCTGTATTGTTACTTTACAATACAGAAATTAAATAAAGATCTATTTGAACAAGTAAATAGTGGAAGCCTAGAAACATGGTCATATTGTCTAGCATATTTACCCTCACTTGCTTTCTGTTGAAACTGTTGTCAGCAGAAAAGAGAAAAAAACTCTCTAATGGAGTCCCAGATAACAGTAAAAAAACCAACAGGTGTTCTGTCCATACTCTATCCAAAACTAGAGAAAAGTGTTTAGCTTGACATATACTTTAAACCCTGAACAGTAAATCAGAGTTGGTTTTCATCTGAAAAGTTTATTATGCCAAGCAGTAGCTATAATCACTGAATATTTAGGCTTGGCTTTTATTTTTTGTAAGTGTGTTGCAACTTCAGTCATTCCATGTTGCAAGTATGTTGCCAGCACATTTTTGTGTCAAGCAGAATCTAATTGTACTATTAATGGCCATATACTGTATCCAAATGGGAGTCAACTAGACCCGTGAAATTATGTGCATAACACATGTCAAGAATACAGTGTGACAGGGCCAGTAAAAATGCTAGTTAAAACCTGTTGAATATACCCAATGGCATTTAACAAAATAAACTAAGCTGGGTGAGTAGAGCAGTGCAGTGACAGTTGCATATTGTAGGATCCTCTGTTGCTACTGGGTGTGATTCTTGATTTTCCTAAAGCGGAGCAGGAAAAAAAAAAAAAATCAGACCAAGCTAGTTCAGTCTGATAAAGCACAAATTAGGCTACATGTACACAAGCCTACCCTTACTGCCAGCCATGGGAAAATGCAAATTGTGGCAAAATTGCAGTACCGCGGTTACCGCATTTTGCGTTTTCCCACGGCCAGCGGTCAAAACGTTCCTATCCTGAATGCGATTCTTCTGCATTCAGGAGAGGGACGTTTAGCCTCACCTAAACGCGGCATCTCCTAAACTCTGCTAAAAGCCTATGTGTACATGGACACATAGGTTTTTATGAAATTGAGTTTAGGAGCTTTAGCAAAAAAAAAAGGCCAAAAGCTCCTAAACTTGAGTATAGCAGCTGCTTGTGTACATGAGTCTTTAGAGAAATAGAACCTCTGTCAGATTTTTTTTTGTAGTCTGAGACCCCATTAAGTCAAACAGAGTGAAAAGTGATGGGAAATCTAATTTTAAATTTAGGGACTTATTTCCTGTAATGTCTTTTGGACAGGAAGAGAAGAAAGATCACCGGGACAGGGGCACTAGCAGCAATATAAACTAAGAGAGGATCTATCCATTCCATGACAAAAAAAAAGGCGAAGTTCTGCCTTAAGATTGTATTGCCAAAAGTATTGGGACACCCCTCCAAATCATTGGATTCAGGTGTTCCAATCACCTGCATGGCCACAGGTGTATAAAATCAAGCATCTAGGTATACAGACTGATTCTACAAACATTTGTGAAATAATGGGTCGCTCTCAGGAGGTCAGTGAATTCAAGCGTGGTACTGTGACAGGTTGCCACCTGTGCAATAAGTCCATCCATAAAATTTCCTTGCTACTAAATATTCCACGGTCAACTGTTAGTGGTATTATAACAAAGTGGAAGCAACTGGGAACAACAGCAACTCAGCCACCAAGTGGTAGGTCACGAAAAATGACAGAGTGGGGTCAGCGCATGCTGAAGCGCACGGTGCGCAGAAGTCACCAACTGTCTGCAGAGTCAATAGGTAAAGACCTCCAAACTTCGTGTGGCCTTCAGATTAGCACCGTGACAATGCATAGAGAGCTTCATGGGATGGGTTTCTGTGGCCAAGCAGCTGCATCCAAGCCTTACATTACCAAGTGAATGCAAAGCGTTGGATGCAGTGGTGTAAAGCAAGTCGCCACTCGACCCTAGAGCAGTGTAGACATGTTCTCTGGAGTGATGAATCACGCTTCTTTGTCTGGAAATGGGACATGTCTGGATTTATCGGTTGCCAGGAGAACGGTACTTGCCTGTACATAAGCCCTTAGAGAAATAGATCAATACCATCTTTGCTTTTTGGAAAACAAAAAGTCCTGTGTGTTACCAGTCCCCCACAAAAAATGTTTACTTGGCTGTACTGTTCAATTGCATATTCCATTTGTGCAACAAGTGGCTCCTCTGAAGCTATTTGATGAATTGAAAAGTCTTATATTTTCCATAATTAGAGATAGCTGGCTCAGAGGCACCTGCTCGCCAAGGACATTTTTTTCTTTTTACACATTTCACTCTTAAGATTTCTCAGCAATGACTTCTCATGCAGAATGGAAACATTGGCTCATTGTGTCAGGCTGACTGTATGTTATTCATTTTGTTTTTTTTCCCTTTTCTGATAATTAACACTGTATCATAGCAGTCAGGGATTTGAGACAAAGTCAGTTGCACAGCCAATTAAAACATTTACTGCCGTAACCTCTGGAACGGTTATATCAGTTGATTTGTGTCAACTTACTTAGTACCAGGTGTCAGCTGCGAACAAGTTCCCGCATCTCGCATCCAAACACAGTACGGATCTCTGGAAGCTATACAAGTCCTAGAAAAACAATTGATATTAAAGAATTAGAATTTATAGGAATACAATTCTGTAGATTGTTCATGCTGTCTATATATGTGGTGTTATTCAAGCAGTACTTAGTTTGAAAGAATTAGGTGGTTAACAAGATAACAAGAGCAATAAAGGATGAAAACCATATCAAGTGAGTCAGACTAAGCAACTTTACAACATGGTATGTATAAATTCAAAGTACAGTATATATAATGCCAAGTATTTACATTTTTGTTAGTAAGAACTTCTGTCAGATTTTTTTTTGCAGTTTTTCCCATGATAAAAAAAAAAAAAAAGTGAAGTTCTGCCTTAAGTATTGCAGACCAAAGTTAAGGGTATAGGGGCATTCTTACTTTTTGCATTTCATGTGTCGTTCACATCTTGCAAGTGGAACCCAGATGACACAGGTGGAAAATGCTACATACAAAGCACCATTTTGCTTGTCAAGCTGCATCCCAATAATTCTCTTGTCGTCTGTTCCCTCATAGCTACATCTAAATGAATAAAAAAACATTGCACATTAAAAGTCATGTTAGCAGTGACGGCATACTTTACAACCTTTTCTTTTTTTCAGGATCATATTCTAAATATATATATATATAAAAAAAACAATGCTAACACACTAAAACGTTATATATATATATATATATATATAGCGCATGTTAGCATTAAGTTATTGGAAACCATAAAAATTAGCTTCTAATATTTGTTCCGTTAAATATACCACTGAATGTGTTTTGTCATCTCTGTTTGATAGCTGAAATTCAGAGCAGCCCCATGTCCTCTGCACAGTTTCTATGTTATCGTTAATGCCTGGGAAACATGGGGAGTTTTGTTCCATTCAACCCAGCGGGCTGAGCCAAAAAAAAACAGTGGTCACCATACTAACTAAACAATGTTTGTGTGGCGATCTCCCCCACTGAGCTATTGTGTTCTGACAGGGGGACTGACCCCCCACCAAAACACAATGATCAGCGTTCAAAGACATTGGATGCAAGTGCTGATCAGATGTTGGTTTTCCAGCATGTCCGTTCGATAAATGCCAGTCATTAGACCTGCTTCTGTTAAACATGTCCTGTGCACATGGGCTGAAGGTCAGAAAGGTTTATGTTGAACTGTCCGATATTTGACCCATGTGTACTAGCCTTAAGAGTCTATTTAGCCCATTTAGTTCTTATCTTGGACCACTGAAAAATTGTTGCATATGCTGTAGAAATCGGAGAGACAGAGTGGTTAAATAGTTTAGCAAAAGACAGTAGACAGTCTGACAACACTTAGGCCACAAAAATGTTGTGTGCTGCCAGCCCACAACAGGAGCTGATAACAAAAGGAAAAGCCTACTAAAAAAAAGCATAATGCAGACACCAAATCTAAGAATTGGTAAGCTGCTATGTAATAAATGTTAGCTTTTAGTTTTAATTGTAGGTCAAGCCAGTTTTTTACATTTTTTTTTTTTTTTTTACGGCCTATAGAATTGTGGTCACTTCATCTCGTCTTTAAATATATAACATATTGTAGAATGGTATAAAAGGTTCTGCTCTCAGTAGAATTGAACATAAAACTTCACTGAAATTTAATATAATTTCTAGAAAGATGAAGACTGACATTTGGGGCTTTTTGCATGTTTTATTATTATACAGGATTTATATAGCGCCGACAGTTTGCTCAGCGCTTTACATTATGGGGGAGACAGTACACGAGACAGTACAGTAACAATACGATTCCATATACAAGGGGTTCAAGGGCCCTGCTCCTTGGAGCTTACAATCTAGGAGGGAGGATATACATGGGCAAGCAAGGGGGTCACTGTAGAGGTAAAATGACAGTGGCTCACAAAGTGGACCAGCATATTTTCTACTTGGCATATCCCTGTACATACCCTTTAATGAACTCGAATCAGAGCATTTAGAGAACATAAAGCTCTTTGTAGAAATTGAGTTTTGAGATTTTCAGGATTGTTTTGCAACTAGTGATGGACTCTGTGCCAGAAAAACAACAGTGCAGGACAACAGAAGAGGGATGTGTATAAGGAAAACCTACTTTTCAGGATTGTAAACATTCATTTCTTCCAAGAAGAGACTGTCACTAAGGAAGCCACTGTATCCTGTCCTTGCCAGAAACTTGAGAATAACGCCTCTCTCCGATCCCAGAAACACCACTGTATGATTCTGATGAGGGCCAGCAGCAGTGTCAACTGCAATTTTTGTAAGTCGATACCTAGACAAAAGCAAAACATATTAGAGTCAAATAACGTCACCTTCAATTTGTTTATGCAAGTATAGAAATCATTCCCAAAGAAAATAATTTTATGTTTTTGACAAAGCCAGCATTATATAAAAATGAATTTAATTAGGAGAATTTACCTAAAATATTTATTTCATTTTAGGTGGAAGGTGATTAAATTAGGACTCCAGTCAAAACATTTTTTTTTTTTTTTTTTTTTTTTTTTTTGGACCGCATGAGAGACGGTCGAAACTTGTCAGGTTTTGCCATGTCCTCACTGGGCAAATTCTTCTGTTTGAAAATTCACCTTTTAGTGTGGCCACTATAAAAAAAGTATCCTTTTTAGGAGAATTCCCCTTACCTATTTTGGTGACAACTATAACAGTTTGTAATGTTCTTGGTTTTCTGCCAGAAACACAAAAAATATGAAAAACTAACAAGTTTCAACCCTTTTCTGTAAAAATGTTAAAAAAAGTAGATGCTAAAACCAAAGCATTCAGTGGGGGATGCAGCATCTGAAACACCCCAAAGTGTTGGATTGTTGCAGTGGCCATAGCTTTAGAAGAGAGTGAAAGTTAAATTTGCAACCAACTGAAAAATATCAGCAACCTTATTTTGTAGGGCACTGCTAGCAAACTTTCAGTTCTGCAAGCAAATTCCAAATTTAGTTTTGTCAGGAAACATTTATTAAAACCATGAGATTACATATATATAGCATATAATAAAGCTAAAGAAAAAGCAGCAATAAACCATTGGCTTTACAAAATTGTAAAAAAAAAGAATACAAATGGAATCCTTTCCTTATGAGAACCAATGAGAATGAATGTTTAATTCCATAAAAATAGGGATTGAACATAGCTCATTGCTACATCAACTCCAGATTATTCAGTTAACCCTCTTCATTATCCTTAGTTCCAAAAATATATTCGCTTTAATATGTACAACATATCTTCCACGCTGCTTACTCGCCTTCTCCTGAGATGTGGCTTTAGTGCCACTGATTACCAATGTTTGTAGATTTATATAAAACTTTATTAATCATGATAAACATCAAGAGACAGAGGGTAATGGCTTAAAAAATAAATTGGAAAATATGTTGGTGTGATATTGAAAGTTTTATACCATTTCAATCCACCTGAGGCACGCTAACCTCCTGATCTCTATCTTCACTAACATCTGGTTTTAGCACAGCTGAAATGACATTTTATATCTTGAAAGCAGCCATGGGACGCTTGTGGCATCTGCCCTGCGCTCTCATCAGTTCACGTTGGAAAAAGGCCAAGAACAGCAGAGATGTTTACAGACCTTCAAAGTACCTGAAATGTATTTCCTAACAGCAATGCATACACAGAGATCTGCTCCATGCCTCCACAAAAATCGCTCACCTAACCATAGTCCGGAGAAACAAAGGCCTGTTTACAATAGATGGCACCGCCTCGTCCATGAGAGGATGTGTTTTAATGAAATTAAGAGTGTCGTCTGGAAGGTCATTGGATGTGGCATATTTCTCTACTGTGGCGGAGCCAGCACAGCAGCCAGGTCTGGAACACAGAACAGAAAAAGAGGATGACACACAACGTAAATGAAAGGATCATGCTAACTTTGGTTTCCTGACCACAACCTCAGCATGATTTGTTTACAAAAGAGAATTAAACATCATTGCCTCTCTCTAAAATGTGAAAAAAATATTCCTACTAATGTATTTCTCAGGAAATCATACAAGGACTTCTACATGAATTCTAGATAAATGCAGGGCCTAGCTTCTCTTTAATGGCTCAAATGATTAGTGGGCCAATGCTTAGAGAGGCACCAGGCCTCAACTCTTACAAATTGAGCTAGTTCCTGCCTTAATTTTGCTTCCATCTTCTGGACACTTCTGAACATCTGTTGCTAAACTGAGAATTGTTGGGGTAAATGGGTGATGGGGACGCTGAAGAAAGCCAATAGAAAAGTAGTTCTACAAATAACGTGGACTTTATTTATTGGCCTCAGTGTAGTAACCCCCACACATGTACACAAGAGT